GGTGTGCCTGGACTAGAGGCTGGAATAGTTCCCTCTTCTGCATTTCCACCACCCCTCACTCCTTCATTTAAGGCAAGCATGGACTGAAAAGAGAGATCTTACATATGACTGCAGCCTTCTGTGTTAGCTCTTTTCTTTCCTCTTACTTCTGTGAGGCTGGTACCGCTCCTGATGGATGGCTGTACTGGGTCTGGCTGGGATAGAGTTAACTTTCTTCATAGCAGCCCATATGGTGGTGTGTTTGGGATTTGTGGCTAAAACAGTGTTGACAGCACACTGATGTTTTGGCTGTTGCTGAACAGTGCTTACACAGTGTCAAGGCTCTCTGTTTTTCCCACTCTGTCCCCCAGCGAGTAGGCTGGGGGTGGACAAGAAGTTGAGAGGGGGATACAGCTGGGACAACTGACCCAAAATGGCCAAAGAGATATTCTATGCCATATCATGTCATGCCCTGCAATAGAAACCAGGGTAGAGGAAGAAGGGGATTGGGGGGAGTTGGCTTCCAAGATGGTCATGCTTATGGGAGGTGGTGAGTGACTGCTTTTGCATTCGGTTTTGTTGGGTTTTTTCCCCCCTCACCTATTAAACTCTTTAGCTCAACCCATGAGCTTTCTCATTCTTGCTTTTCTAGTTCTCTCCCCCATCCCAGGAGGTCGGGGGAATGAGTGAGCGGCTGTGTAGGTGCTTGGCTGCTGGCTGGGGTCAACCCACCACAGTGGGCAAAGACATCAGGACAGGAGGGTCCTCCCAGCTGCTTGGGGTCTGGCTGTGGGACCAATGTGGGCACATTCCCTGCCACTCCATTGCTATGCAGAGATTCGCGCTGGCTTTGGTCTGAGAGGGATCCTTTGCCACGGGCAGAGAGATTTTGGTCCAAATGCTTCTTTTTTGTTGCAGTTGGAGTAAGTTGGCCTTCCCTCCCAGCAATGTCCACCGTTAAGTAATGGGTATGTGCCCATTACCCCAAGTTCACACTGGTGTAATGGAGCCAAATGTAATGCAAGGGAGCAGTAGATGAACAACGTAAGGCTGCACTGGATCACTGACATCTGTCTTCTTCCCTGTGCAGATACAGCGTATATAAATACACGTCCATAGCCCTGGTGTCCCTGGGGATCTTTACCTGCACTGTCATGTCTGCAAAGCAAGTGGTAAGGATTGGAAAGGGCCTCAGGTCATAGCTGTGAACCTTATTGAGAGGAGAAGCTGCTGTCAGCACCTTCATCAGTAATTCCCTTTGCCTGACTATTAATGGAGAGACAAGATGTCTCCTAGCTCTAGATCTGCTCCCTGAAAGCTCTTGTTCCTGGTCTCATTTTCCTGTGGTTTGGAGGGAAGGGATGCACACACATGCATGTGATTTAACTTAATTACAGATGCTTTTTATCTTGTGTTGTTCAGGTTGCTTTTTGCTGAGAATATACTGTTATTTTTTTGCCACAGCTAGTAGCTGTTTTCTCTTGCTCTTACTGCCATGTTTTGCAGTTAGGAGCAAGTGAATCTTAAACAAAACTCAGCCATCTTAAATCTTTGCTCTTTTTATCCCAGAAGAGGTTGTCGGCTTTCAGGCTAGATTTTTCCAGACCTATTGTCATCCAATGTGACTTTCTGTGACCCTTGAAATAAAGTGCATGTATTTGGAGAACAGGAGGGAGTGAAGAAAATCCATGTGTAACACCACTTTGGGCTTTTCCTGGGTCAGCACCCACAGCCTGATCTTGTCAACTGAAGATAGAAAAATGGCATAAAATGGTGGTCAAGTGAAGATTGGTTGCACTTAATCCAGCTGTGAGAGATTGGAAAGAAACAGGGCTGTCAAACCTCTAAGTCCCCCATCATTTAATAGCTATTTATACTCTTAGGGTGTCTGAGGAAGGTCTGTGCTACGCGGCCTTGCTCTGTATTAATCCAGATTAACTCTCAGCAGGCATTGGGTTTTGGTATAGTATGGACAGTTGTGGCAAAGGTGAGTAATCTAATTTGCCCTAATCCACGGTGAAAGAGAGTTGAGCCAAGTCATGCTACCTAGAGTTTTACCCTCGGCTAACGGCATCTACAGGCCTGGTTTCCTCAATGTCCGGACTTCGAGCCAGAGACTTGGTTTTAGTACCTGACTGGGGCTTGGCCAGAGCCCTTGTTCTTTCCTGCACTCCCACCTCTGAGATAGGGACAGAGGAGCCTGCCAATGGGCTCTCTGTGGGAGCTTTCTAAGTGGCACTATTATTTGTGTGGTTGAAGAGTTCAGTCTCTGGTCAAGCCAGGGCACGTCTTTCACAAAAACTATTTTCTTGATCAGGCATTTACACTTTGGCTGGAATCTGGTGCATTCCCTGAAGCAGAGTGGAAAGCAAAGTGTGCTGTAGTTGCTACCACCTCTGTTCAGCTAGGGAGGCAACTCTGGAGAATGTGAGACCTTGGATGGTCTTTGCCTTATGGGCTTGCCTGGAACACAACACACAAACCAAGAGTGAGGTACAGGCAGGTCCCAGCGAGCTGCAGGGACGTGGTAGCTCATGGTGACTGTGTTGTGTCTTCCTCCACCAGGCATCTGACTCCAGCTTAAATGAAGAGGACGGACTCCAGGTTTTCTTGTGGTGGCTGCTAGGTATGTGAGTGCCACATCTCCAGCCGACCTTGCTGGGATACTGGCGAGACTCGGCTCTCTGATGTCCTTGGCCATGTGGGTTGTGCAAAGCAGACTGTGGTGGGAGTCCCCGCGCTGAGGTTAAGTTGTGCTGAGCATCTATAGATGTTGATTTGCGAAGAATCGGGTTTTGTGGCTCTCATTAGCAGCTTTGTGCAAGGAGATACTCTTCCTTTGGCCAACAAGTTAAATACGGCACCTAAGGGATTTCTGCAAGGCTTAGTGACAGAATGAGACTAGTGTCATGCATGTTTGCAGATGTCTTCTTGACTTCTCTCTGCAAAAGCAGCCCTACCTGATATATCTGATGCTGTGAGCTATGCTGCAGAGAGGGAAAGGGACTGTAGCTGGTTCAAGGGTGCATTCAGCACAGTGTTTCATGGAGGAGTCTCTACAGTCTGGCACTTGAGTCTATTTTTATACCTCCAACCTAGATTTATTGGTGGCTTTTCGGGGAAACTGGGATTGATGTATTGTCAATAGTGGCAAACAACTGTATCCCTAGTATCCCACCAACTCTGCTTGCCAGGGCTGAGTCTCTTTTTAAAGAGAGGATCTTTTCAGAAGTCTCTTGGCATCTCAGCCTTTGTAATAAGATACCCGTGTCTTCAAGACCATTGTCAATTTTCTGCCCATGTTATCAAGTCTGGATGCTTTGGCTTTTTTCACTGAAAGCCAAATCAAGGGAGTCGTCAAACTGTTTGACTTGAGCTATGCCATCCCTGAGCAGTGTTGCAAGGCTGTGCTTCTGTTCCAGGTATTGCCGCACTCACCTTCGCCCTCCTCATGTCTGCCAGGATGGGGATTTTCCAGGAGACGCTGTACAAGCAGTTTGGGAAGCACTCCAAAGAGGCCCTTTTTTACAATGTAAGTCACCATGTCTTTTCTGTTGCTTTTACTGAGCAGATAGAGCTGCTCAGAGAGACCCTTCCCCTCCCACCCTGTACTCAGCACAAATCCAAAGGATCACACGTGGCGAGGCTGGAGCATTGAAGAGTGTGCGCTCATCCAGATGTGTGAGGCTGGTTTCCCAGGATGAGAAGTAGGGTGGCTTCACATAATCTGTTAACAGCATGTCTTTACTTTTCTCTCCAGCACGCGTTACTGCTCCCTGGCTTTCTCCTCTTTGCCCCAAACATCTACCACCATGCAGTCCTCTTCAGCCAGTCCGGTGAGTGTTGCACAGACGGATCCTTGCTCTCATACCTTTCTGTCCTCTGGAAAATGCTGTAGGAAGCTTTCAGTCCAGCAGTTGTGCACGTCAGACTGTTGTCTCTGGATATTCAAGCCCTTTGAATTTTCAGGTTTGACAGAAAGCCAAAAGCCAAAAAAAAAAAAACCCCACACTGTCTTGGGGACATTGTCCAACCTCTTCCTCATGGTAGGCCAGACACCAGCATGCTTGGACAAGTGGTGATTGCTGACCACTGAGAGCCTGGCCATGGGCAGCTGACCTTTAGCTGGTGCCACAGCAGCTTGCAAAGCTAAGCCGTGAGTTACTGTTTGGATCACTGTGGTTAGAACCCAAGCTTCGCACTAATGCACACGCGTACACCTGTTGGGCCCAGCCAGATTGCTCATCCATCCACCTTGAGCTATACATCTGCTTAAGTTTAAGAGTAAAATTCACCAGGCTTTTCAGTGCCAGCAAGCTTCCTATATTCTGATCCCAGTTTTGTGAAACTGGAGGGATCTTTGCCAAGTAGGTTTGCTGGTTCTTTAATTCCCTCTGGGTACAGGAGATATTTGCATGCATAGATCACTTTAATCTGTTCATTAATATCATTGCAAAATATTTCTAGCATGCTACACCCTCTCAAGAAAAGCATGAGCTAGGCGACTCCTGGGAAAAGGAATGTGGTAGTTCAAAAATGTGAGTAACGGGACCGAATCCTCAACCACAGGTGTAAACACGGACCCGCTGTCTTTTGTTTTGCCAGTGCTATGCAGGCTTTCCCATGCTAGTGCTGTCAGCCTCTCAGAGCCACACAGTTGATTCGCCCAGTTTTAACAGTAGGGCAGCCCTGACACAAGAAAGCAAGACAAAGCTTTTCTTTTAATGTCTTTTTCCCTTAGCTTACTTCTTTCTCCATCTTCCTTTCTTCCCTACGGAAGCCTAGGCATAAATATCTGCAAAATATCTCTCTTGTATTTGTCATTAATCACAGTAAGAACAAGATAACTTTCCATTTGGAGCAAAATCAAAATGTGCCCACATCTCAGTCTGCCTAATGCAGCAACGGCCTCCTGAAGCTGCAGCATGTCCTGGATCATGGTCAATTCTGGACAGGAGAGAGACACCTCTCCTTGCATCTTCTTTAAGCAGTAGCAGGGCACTGACCTTGCTCCATCCTTTCTTCCCGCAGAGCTGTTCCAGGTCCCAGTGATCGGGCTGACCCTGCCAATCATGTGGTTCTACCTCCTCATGAACGTCATCACTCAGTATCCTTCCAAAGCTCAGCTTGAGACATGCCACGGAGGTGGCAGTGGGATGGGAGAGGAGGAATGGGGTGTGGGTGCCGAGTCCTTGGAGTCTTCCCTGCATTTGGGAGCTGATGTTTGTGTAACTCAGAAAATATAGAGCGGAATTTAACCTGGGGCTTGTGTTTTTTCCAGGGTGGCTGAAATCTGCCACCACCTCCCCAGGGACAGGCTGATTGGTATAAACTCATGGCAGTTTTGCTAGCCGGCTCTAGGTAGAAGGGACAGATCAGGAGCTATTTGTAATATATCAGCGTGTAGAGTCTTCCAGGCAGAGAGGAGAGGTCTGCAAGTCTGATGAAGCTGAGATGCCCTCGAGAAAGGGACCCTTCAGTCCAAGGCCCTCTTACCATTTTCCTCTCACTGTGCCCTATGGCTGCTCATGCTCCTCCATGAAACCCCCTTGTTTAATCTGCCTTTCCCATGCCCCCTCGGGGGCGGGGAAGGAGACTTCTGTTGCGTATAAATGGAGAAGTCTGATTTTAGCTTCCCTTGGCCCTCTGGCAGGGACTGTAAACCCTGCGCGCCATTAACCTTTTGCCAACACGTCAGCCCCAGCTGCTCCAACGGGGTAGTTTTGCTGTCCCAGAGCAGGGTCAGGGGGAGTCTGGGAGATTCGGGGTGTCGCTGGGGTTTGTAGTGAAGCTGTTCATAGCTATAGAAACGCTGATCTGAGGAGAAGGGAATTTTATTCCCTCTATAACCAGACGGGGGCTGTCCATTGCCCAGTCTTTTTCATTCCCGAAGGCCTGCCCAGGTGTCTCAGTCCCGATGTCCCCTTACCTCCGCCCACCCAGATACGTCTGCGTCCGAGGCGTCTTCATCCTCACCACGGAATGCACCTCCCTCACCGTCACGCTGGTGGTGACACTGCGCAAGTTCGTCAGCCTCATCTTCTCCATCCTCTACTTTCACAACCCCTTCACGGCCTGGCACTGGCTGGGCACCACCTTCGTCTTCGTGGGGACTGTCATGTACACGGAGGTGTGGAACAGCCTCGGGCCCTTCCTGGCCCGCTGGAGGAAGAGGCCGAAGGAGGATTAGCAGCCGGGAGACTCTCTGCAGGGACCTTTTTATGGTTTTACAGAGCAGAGCATGAGGGAATCCCCCAGAGGGGGGTTGTTTTTATAACACGGGGGAGGTGTTGGCTGTGCCAAGCTCCTGGGAAACGTGGAGCCTCCTCTGCGAACCTACCTGAAATGGATCATGAAGAGACGATACCGTTATTTTTGCAAGGTTGCATTTTTTTTTATGCAACCCCTTTTGCTTCCAACCTTTCCCCCTGTTTTTTTCGTTTGAATAACCCCTTTTAAGTAATGTAAAAGCTCACCCAGTTCTCTGTTAGGAGCCCAACCTTGGTGCTGTTGTCTGCTCCTCCCGGCTTTGATGAGCTGGACCCTGAGCCTGTTTGGTGCCGTCCTTTAGTGTCCAGGTGGCCATAGCGGATGGCTGAGCCCCGAGGAACTGCTGTTTGTGCAGCAGGTTGTTAGTTACACTGGAAATGCCAGGTCTGGCTGTTAACCTGAGTCCTTCTTGCCTGATCCTACCAATTGTGCTGGAGGGTGTCGGATATACCTGTAGCTAGAGCCTTCCAGTCTGCCCAGTAGATCCTCCACTGGGGAATGGCTCAGGGAGCTGATTCCCAAGCCACCGAGCCCCCATCACTAGTAACAGGGCGTAGCTGGGAGTCTGAGGAAACCAAAAAGGGGTGATGTTAAGGGGACAGAAAGTGCCACTGTGTCACCTTCGCAGCCTTCTCAGGGAGATGGTGAAGTGCTGTTGAGGCTTCATTGAGTCCTCAGCTGTTGCCCTGATACTTCACCAGCCGGAGGGTATTATGGGTTACTCCTGCTTCGGTTAGGTCCTCAGTGCAGGTCACTTTTCAGTCGCTTCCTACTTTTTCCCTCATTACAAGCATGTTCGGTGGGCTTCATTACCAGCAGTCAGCTGCAGGGAACTGTGCTGAGCCCCCAACAGGCCTGTGGTCCCCGTGGATCCAGCCCAACCTCAGGGTTCAAATGATGCCAAGAAACTTAAGAAGGGCCAGTACAGCTGAGCTTATTTCTGCTGCTGGGCCGGGGGCTGCTTTTACTGTCCCTTCACCCAGTTCTCTCCCTCTCTTCTCCCAGCCCTTGGGCATCAGCTTCGCTTGTGGCATTTCTGTGCATCATAGCAGCATCGACCTGGCACAGGACCGGTGTCCCTTAGTGTCACCCCTCAGCTGGGGCAGGGGTGGGCTGCAGGAGCTTTGGGTGTGCGTCCCCATGCATGCAGGCAATGCGTGTCTCCCAGCGAGGTGAGGAGCAGCAGCCACAGCTCTTCTAGGAGCTGCTCAGTGTTGGGCAGAGCAAGGGTTAGCACGCAGCCTTGTCTTGGTCTTGGGGCAGCGGGGAGCACTGTTTTGTGCTGCCTCAATTTTCCTGGAGCACCTTGTTCTCATCATCGTGATACTGTCCCTGCTCAGCTGTGATAATTAAGGCAACCAGCAATGTCAACCTGATTCACATCAAGCTTGGCCAAATAAGGACCTTACTCTGTTATTCCTCCACCCAGTGTCCCGGTGGCTTCCAGCCTTGGTGGTTACAACCCCTCCAACGTTAAACCTGTGCTTGTGGTGGGTTAACTCCAGCTGGCAGTGAAGCACCATGTGGCTGCTCGCTCACTGTCCCCCACAGTGGGACCGGACGGGGTGGGTAGGAAGTGCAAAACCAAGAAAATTTGTGAGTAGATGTAAATGAGTAGATGAGTAAAGATGGTTTAATAGCAAAGGAAAGAAGAGGGGAAGAAAAACCCCAAGTGATGCAAAGGCAACACTCACCATCTCCCACCATTAGACCTATGCCCAGCCAGTCCCCGAGCAATGGCCACCTTTCCAAAACCTCCTCCCCTCTGTTTTTATTGCTGATTTTTATCTGTGTCAGCTGTCTTGGATATGCCCCTTCCCAGCTTCTTGCCCACCCATGGCCTAATCATTGGTGAGGGGCAGAGCGGGGAAAAAAGGGAAAGCCTTGCCTTCGGCAAGCACCGAAACACTGGTGTGTTGTCAACACTGTTTTAGCCACAAATCCAAAGCCCAGCACCATTCGGTCCGCTATGGAAGAAATTCACTCCATCCCAACCACAGCCAGTACGATGCTGACGGGACCTGCAGCTCACTCCTTCCTAAGATGCTGGAGGATTTTTCTCTTATGGTTTTATTTTTCCTGAGCTTGAAAAACCTCTTGTATTTTGAGTGTCAGACACGGGATGTTTCCAAGGATCTTGTAGATGGGGAGACTGTTTCCCAACAGCTGCCCCAGCACCTAGCGCAGGTCCGCTCTCACTTCCAGCTGTTTGCACAGGCTCCAGGAAGGATGCAGGAAGAGAGAGGCAAAACCTTTATCACTCATCTTGATCTTCAAAGCTATTGCTTCAGCTGAGACAGGGAGGGAGGGGAAGGCAACACAAATTCAGTGCGAAAGCATCAGGGACAGTGAGTAACTGGTGGGCTTCATCGAAGTTTAAAACACAGCTGTGTAACACCAGGCTGAAGGCAGAAGCTGCGTTCACGGTTGGGCAGCAGGAGCTGTAACTCCTGTTAAGTGGCCGTGGCGGTGGTTGCTGTCGCCTGGGCTGGGGATTTAGCAAAGCAATAGCTGAGCGGGTGCCTGAGTGAGTGTAACGTACTGTACATAGACTGCTCGCAAGGTCACTCTTTGTATCAAGGAAATTGCATGTCGTCTCCAATTTCTGTGTGATGCTGGTAGGTTTGGGGATGTTTGCCTTTCTCTTTTTTTAACCGTGTGTTGTACTTGGTCTTCACTCGAACCACGTGTCAACAATGGGTTATTATTTGTTGCTGTCGGAGGGGTTTTTTTTAACTTTACAGTGTGATCTGTGTGTGTCTGAATATAACTGTTACAGCATCGCAGAGTGGCAGCGATTCCCTTCCTGCTGTAGGAGAGCTTGCCCAGTTGTGAGATGGAGGAAAGGTCCATGCAGAAGGGCCCCATTAGCCTAAACTAGTATTTGAATCCAGGGCTCCCCCCCAAAATGGGAGCTACTGATTTGTTTGGTTTTAATGTTGGCTGCAGAGATAATAGCACATACTTTTTAGCAGAGGCTGGAAAAGTGGGTGAGCCAAAATACTTTTTGATCAGTGTTCTGAATTTGCAGAGCTTTTGGGTTGGCTGGTTGGGTTTAGGGTGGTATTTTTGTTGATGTTTTTTTTAAAAACAAAATAAATATGTATCCTCTTCAAAGTATGTTGGTCATCTTGTTTCTCCTTTCACGCTTTGCTACTGGTAATCAGCTGCTGGTGACTGGAAAATTAATGGGGCTCTGAAATCAACACACAATTTCTCCTGCGTTTAATATGGGAGAAGGCAGGAAAGACTCTCATAGCTATATGGGGTTTGAGGGACAGACCCAACCATCTCCCTCCCCTTCTACTGAAACACCTAGCAGCACTGCAGAGTCCCCCACCCAAGTATCCTTGAACCCCCTAATCCTCACCCACCACACCGTCTGGAGCCACAGCTCCCCAGACGTGTCCTCTAGGGCTTGGCGATACTGCTGAGCCAAGCCAGGCTCTCCACGTGCCAATCTGCTGTGCTCCAGCCCAACGTTAGCCTCTAGCTGCTGCCACGAGGCGAGAAGCTGCTTTCCTCAAATCCCACGTGTCCCTCTCCTCCTCCTGGTTCATAGCGGCTGTGCAGGGCAAATGCGGCTAAACCAGTAACGAGCTACAGGCCTGCGGTGCCAGCAGACTCACTGGGGTGGCTGTTTGCCTCCTCTGCAGCACTAAGCCAGGACCACCTGCCTCACCCAGCCCTTTCAGCTGTGGTTCCTACTAACAGGGTATTGAATCAAGATCTGGGGGGATGCGGGAGGTGTAGGAAGGCAAGAGAAGCAAAGGGTGGCCTGGGGGAGGCTCCTCTTTAATTGCACTTACAATAAAGTATATCCAATAGCTTGCTGCAGATGGTCTCTAACTGCACCCAGGTGGGTGAGGTGGGCAGCCGAGGTCCCCGGCAGCACCCACAGGAGTTGGGGGACCTGGCTCAGGGCAGCGGTTTGAGCCTGAAGCAGTTGGTACTGAGAAAACCATTAGGATTTGAGGTTCCCAAGCAAGACTCTACAGTTGCCTTAGTGTCCCAGTTTCTGGGAATCCCATCCATGCAGCACAGAGCACCGCTTTGCTTACCGTGGTGTTATCCCAGGAGAGGTCGAAATAGGGAATGAAGCCTCCTGGCATCAGTGCTTCACCATTAACTCGGAGCTGAGTGGGCCAGCTTTCCACATGGGACCTGGTTTAAAAAAAAAGAAAATAGCAAGAAATGAAGTGACTACTGTGGTCTTTCCAGACCCTGGTGACGTCTCCATCACTGCAAAAACAGCAATGTGACGTTAAAATCCTGGCCATCACTCCACGTTTAACACACTTTTAAACCTTCCCCATCTCAGAGCTTTAATGGGCACACTTAATTCTCCACCAGTTACCAAGTATATATATTTCCAATTTAACAAATCGTCTTTCCCCAGACCCTGGCAGCCATTCGTTTAATAAATCCTCATCGGCCAGGCTCTGCTTTCATCAGCTCGGAGATTGCTGTTCAAAATCTTTTGCCTTTCATTAAATTTGGGATGGTGTTTATTAATGCTTTCAATCTTTCCTCGGCACGTCGCAGCCTGGCTTGCCACGGTGGGTCGGGGAGAAACAAGGGAATTTTTTTTTTTATTAAAGCGAGAGGGAAAGCCTTGTACTCCTTTGGGAAATGCAATGAAATCCTTGTCACTTCCAAGGTGTAAAAAAACTTGCTCCCACCCCTAAATTAAATGAGAGGGGCAGGAGAGGGATAAAGATGTCTCTGTAAATCACTTGGAGCCACACAGTTCATTTCTGTTCAGCGGCTTTCATTATAGCAATCATAAATCAGCAGTTGGAGCCCGAGAGGGCAAGAAGGTGAGATTTACTGGCGGAGGAAATTTGGGAGGGGAAGAGCCCAGAGGATCCAGAACCATTTTTTTTTGCCTCCAGCGTGGCCCAGGCTCACAGGTCTCTG